TAGTATTCAATAAAAAAGCAGCTACAGTGTGGAAAAGTCCCTAGAAAATTTTTAAAACAATACGAATAAAAATAGACGTAGAAAAAAATGTTTTTGAAAAAGTAGAAATTGTGTTTCATGAACTTTTTATTGCTTCCTGCTATTTATGTTTTTTTATTTTCCTAAACGAGCATTTTAGTTTTTCCGGGTAACTTAGAACAGTTATCTACTCCTTTAATTACGTCTAGCTTAAATTTACTGCCAAAAGGTGTTCAAATACACCATTTGTCTTCAACTGCTGTCACCGGAGGCGAAGACGTTAAATATAAAGCAATATAGACGTGTTAATCGTTCATCTTGTTGTAGATTTTTTTGGCATCAATTTAACTGTTACGTTTAAATTACAAATAGAGCACTATTTCGCTTTTCAAGGTTAATCGATCGAGTAGCTAGTTACTAGCTGTGTGAAATTGCTTGTTCCTTGTCTTTGTTTGTTTTGTTTTTTTATTATTAAGTTGTCCTTCCCTGATTATTGGCATTGACGTTATGTTTAGATGTTTGGAGTAGTATGCTTAATGACTATAATATTCCAGTGTAGTTATGCAGCTTTTAAGTCTGAGAGTTCTTTAAAACAGCACAGCATGAAAGATAGTTCTAAACAAGCAAGTTCTGGAATGAAGATTAAGAACGTTTTGCCCGGTTTTACATCTTTCCTTCTGGTCTTGTCTCAGCCGTTGACGCATTAGCTCTAGAAAGACGCCAGAGTCTGTGGTAACTGTATGAATCAGAATGCTCAATGGGAGCTGACAGCGATCCTGTTCAAGGTTCATACTGTGTTTTGGTGGCTTTTTATAGCGGAACGTTCACATCAGTGCAGTAAACCTTAATTTTTTTCTATCTCTCGCCACTGGTTAACAACGACCAAGGTGTCTGAAGATGCATTTTCACATGCGTTCAACAGATGCTTCAAAAATGGTACTTCCTTGCCTCTAGTCTCGACCGTTCGCAAAAAGCACCGTAAGGCTAATTTGAGGTCGCTGTAGCTTCCTGAGGGAAAGCTTCCAGAGGAGCTGCAGACTGACCACCTGAGCAGGATAAAGCCAAGTATAAAAGAAGCAGTAATCAAGAAATTATTCAGTGTTCATTAGAGTAATTCGAGCGTTATTTGACTCATCTTTTCGATCAGTATTGATCAAGCGATTCTTCATTTATTGCCGATCTCAATCTATGCTATATTTTCTGTTATTACGTGCCTAGTAGGCAGCTTTTGATCTGTTTATTGATCTTAAGTTGTTTCTATTTGTAATCAATATTTTTTGGCACATTACTGAGTGTCTGACTAATGCCAATCAGATTTTTCTATTTGTAAAGTATAAAGGTGAAGTAAAAATAAAAAGGTTAAATATAAGAAAAGCCTCTAACATAATTGGAAGGTTTCACCTGAGAAGTCACATAAGACGTCAAAGTAGAGGACATTGGAGACACAAAGGTCAAAGACACAAAGGTCAAATCACAGTCTATCATGTTACAGTTTGTTTGGTTGGTAGCTGTGATTCGTAAGCGCCTAATTACGGTCACAGTTAATTTAGTGTATTACGAAGAAGGTCCATGATGGGAGACTGTTGTAGCAGTAATGCCTCATTTTAGGAATTTGTCTGTTTAGCCAAGACACTTCGTTTGAGCGGATACAATATGCCTTGAAAGAGATTTGTTTTCTGCGCAACAGCCGGTTCATAGAGCTGCACTTCTGCAGCGGTCATTTTCTGAAACTTTGTCGAAGTTTCTCTCCAATGGTAGTTTACTTTGCAGCAATCTATCCTACTAAAATATACTTGCTTGTTTCTGACTAAACTTAACTGCTTTTTAAAAATAGTTCTGATCTTTGCGAATTTGCCCTCAAAAAAAGAATTTTTCAAATGTACTTCTAGTATACTTCTAAATTATTAGGATAAAATTAAGCTACCTTTTGTAAAGCTTCGTTAATTTTTAGCACCAGATTAGTTGCTGCAATTTCTGTACTACCAACACTAAGCTGGCAAATCACAATTACGCAAAAAATCTGACTTTTTGATCTTCAACTAATCTTTTTACAAAAAAGCTCATTTAAGATGTAAATCGCAATTTTTAGCTGTATAAAAGACAGTTTTTTTACACTTTTAGATTTCCATAAAATGTTACAAAAAATTTTTAATAGTTGCTTTTTTAGTAAATTTTTTAAGTTCTGAATCACTAACATTTAGGAGAGCAAGTAAGTTTGTCTCAGCTTAACGCATAGAATGCAAGATAAATAGTCTAAATTGAACAATGAGTAATTTGCAGAACTTTTTTACAAAATAACATCTGTTCAATTCTCGTTTCCAAAAATTTAAAGCAAAATTTGCTCATTTGAAACCAACTTGCAAAAAAGAAACTAGAAGAATAAACGGAATAAATAAGATTAAAGATAGAAGTCATGGTTTGGCATTATGAGTTCTTACTGTAGAATTTGAACTGCACGTTGACTGTAAAGAGAACTAAAGACTTTAGCGTTATTTAATTACTGTGTGAGATTAGTAAATTACTTAGAAATGTTAGATGCATAGTGCAAATTTGAAAACTTAAGAAGAAGCAGCAAAAAACCCGTAGCTTTAAAGACTAATTTTAGGTAGAATGGCAGAATAAATAACGAAAAGGTTGGAGAGAGACAGTTTAAAAAAGGAATAGGGTTAGGTAATAAAAAACACGTTTAAGCTTTCACAAACTTGCTCAGTTATAAACAAAAAAATTTGAGCTTTAAAGAAAATGACACATAATGTAAATAAAGTAAAACCATACTGTTTTTCATTGGAATCGGTATCTAAAAAGCTTCTGTTTTTGAAAACCATATAACAATGAAAAAACAGTAATCAATCTTTAAAAAAAGCATAACAGTTTAAATACATAACCAATAAAAGATTATAAACACAAATCAGTTAACAACAAAGTCAGATGTCTCAAAAAAAGTAACTTCTTTACCATGTTGCTATAACATAAATCACAAGTTAAATGAATTCAAATAAGAAACGAAAACATTTCACAAGTAAACAACAATGCTTAGTCAGATGTCGTAAGAGAAAAAAAAAGATTCTTGAAAAATAAAAAGGCGAAAATTTTAATAAAAGATACAGTAGTTTCTTACTGGTTGCAGTTGGAAAGAAGTGAAGAAGTGATTAGAAAAGAGTTTTGCTTACATTTGCTGAGGTCAATTTTGGCTATAAATTCAAATCTCAAAACAATCGCAAACCTAACAACAAGCATTTTAAATACGTTTTCAATAAACTGTTTTTTAACAGACAAATATGTGAACGAGAGAAGATGCAGTATTTCTAAAATAAATACAGTTTTACAAGTAAATAACTGTAGAATACGTATTGGTTTACGTGAAGATACAGGCCTAGGCAACAAAGTGGGCGTAATTGCCTTATAACAAAAATGAGAAGCAGATAAAGATTTTTGACAAACATAGAACGTTGCATAAGTTTGTTTCAAAAGTAACACTTTTCACCAATAAAACCAGAAAACGCTTAAGACTAGTCGAAAAAAAGAAACACTTCTTTTTTACATATTTGCAAACGTAAACATAACCCGGAGCTTCAAAATTATACAAAAAGCAGCCGAGTTTCCGAGATAATTAGTCGTTGTCTTAGTGATTTTCTGAAACAGAAAAAAAAAGCAATAGTCTCCATGCGTAGAATAATTTTGAAAAAGTGGTGTGATACTACTGAACAAGACCCACTAGCTGTGCTGTAGCAAAAAAACCTAAAAAACTTTAGAGAATTACGTGTTGTTGAAGAGATATGATAAACTTAATAATTACTGAGTAATCGAGATAAAAAAGCAGTAACAACCAATTTGAGAATTCGAGAATATTCGGTAGATAAAAAGTGGCATAAGCAGCAAAATGCCCACAAAAGCAGTAAATGATAAATTTAAAAAAGACTGGATCAAAATTGTTCTTAAATTTTTTTATTTATTTTAAGAAACTACAATAAAAAACTTAACTTTAAAAAGTTACTAAATATTACTTGTGAAAACTCTCATATTGCGCTTTCAAAACTACAATTTGAACAATTACAAAAAAATGGCGTCGATAAGAAATAATTGAATTACAATAAATACTGCAGTCTGAACCATAACAGCTTATTACCTAAGAGTATTTTGTAATTGGAAACGAAAAATTGTAAGTTTGTTCTCAAAAGAAAATTGGTTTTTGATTATTATATTGAACACTGGAAGAAAATATGCGGCAACACTGATAAAAATGACAAAAGTGGCACAGTTATCAAATAAGCTGTTTTTTTACTTCGTTGCTCTTCTGTTTTCCAAAATTAGAAATGCATTTATCATCTGAACCCTAACTTTAATGATCTGAGCAAAAACACCTAAAAATTGAGCTTGATCATCAAAATGATAACTTAGCAGAAACACTATTTAGTTGAAAACAAGTTTTCTAGAAGTTAGCAACTTTTATAAGTTGTTTACATAATTCATGACTCTGCAAAAATGTAAGCTTCTTTATGCTCTTTAAAATACTTCTAAAATATGAAGAAAAGTTTTTAAAGGAATTTTCATAAGATAGAAAGTAT